CCCAATGCAGGATTCTTTCCCCCACTCTGTCAGTACAGGCCCTAGCTGCACAACCATACATTTCCATATAGGCACCCTGATAGGAAGCCTGCCGAAAGTTCTGGTCTGGTTCCCAGTTCTCTGCTGGCCACAGACTCAGACCTTTGTATCACTTCTCCATAATGACCGCAGACTCTCTTTCTTTTTTTGCACCAAACTAATGTCAAGCTTTCGGACCAAAGGCCCTATATTATAAATACAAAGTATCATTTGATTAAACTGCTGCTTCAGCTCCAGTTATCTGCTTCCCAGTTCCTAACTCCCACTGGGAAGATTCTGAAACTGCATTGGAGATTAAGTCAAGAAGGAAGAAAACAGGAGAGACATTCTCTCCTTGAACTTTCCTAAATAGAAGCTAGAGGGAAAAATGAAAAGAAAGGCCTATTTTCCAAAGAGGGGGCTGGAGCAATGCTCTTTCCATTAAGCAGACCTGCACAAGAATCTATAGATTATTTAACACTGGGGGTGGCTGGGGAGTGAAATAAAGGAATCTTTGTGCAATGCCAACCACAGCTCCCTCACGCTTTCCCCACAGTCAGGCATTTCACCCAACTCTCTAAATCATCAAGTTCTAATGCACCCCATCTGTGCACCGGCTGGAGCCAATGAAACCGAAGCCCGTGCTGATTTTGGCCTGGACTTGTGAATGAGTCTTTCTGCCCCAAAAGGGGCAGGAAGGAGGACATGAGGCCAAAATAGTCTTTTTTTGCTCCTTACTTGTCTTCTCCCAAGGTTCAAGTTGTATCCATCTATTTGATCATTTCTTGAGCTCTTTCTTGGCACAAGTCAAGTTCTGAGTGGGAGACACCAAACGGACAGGCCGTGGCCCAAGGACGTATGTGAAGGTTCATAGGAAAGAGGAAGGAGGTGAAGAAGAAGGACATTCTTGGTAGAGGCACAGAGGCCTGAAATACTCCCACCTGCACATTCAGGGAATGATGCTTAGTGCCCAGTGGCTGAAACAAAGTTAAGAACTGGCCCGAGACCTAACTCAAAGGCTAGGCTCTACCAGATCATCAGAGGCCCTGTGTACCAGGCCAACGAGATAAGTCATGAACTGTGAAGGCCACTACCATCTCCATATATTCAACTTCTGCTATCCCAGCGCCAATAACCACCTCTTCCAGAAATCCTTCCTGAACACCCACTCAAAGTAAATTATACTCTCTTCTGTGAACCTATGCTTGGAGATCTTGGACAACTTTTATGAGTCTCAACTTCTCCATCTGTATAGAATCTGACAGACATCACCTAGCTTAAAAACTTCTTATGAGGGTTAAGTGAGATAACATTAACGAAGTGTCAACTAGCAGTTTTTATTACACAGAGGGTGCTAAAATACACTATATTGGTATCTCAATTTCTTATGCTACATAGCATTTCTTCCTTATATTTAAATAATGTCTTGAGGCTTGGCGCCTGAAGCACAGTGTCAGCCACATACACTGAGGCTGGCAGGTTCAAACCCAACCTGGGCCAGCTAAATCACGACAAGTGCAACAAAAAAATAGCTGGGCATTGTGGCGGGCACCTGTAGTCCCAGCTACTGGGGAGGCTGAGGCAACAGAATCACCTGAGCCCAAGAGTTTGAGGTT